GGGGGGGTGAAATTTCTATCGAGTATCTCGGTCTTTCTTCTGAGACGTTGTATCCTTCTCAGCTCGGGTGGTCCTGACAGGCTGTGTAGAAAGCCCACCTTTTTAATAATCTAAATTGGGCAGATGGGGACGTAAAAACACTTAGATCTATATTTTTAAAAATTTAATACAGACAGACAGACAGACTCTGGATGACATACCATGTGCTGTTCCATCGGCAGGTCGCGGTCAAGGTCATCGACAAGAAGCGCGCCAAGACCGACAACTACGTGCGCAAAAACCTGCGCAGAGAGGGACGTCTGCTACAGCTGGTGCGTCACCCTAACGTGGTGGCGCTGTATGAGGTCATGGAGACTGACAACTCCTACTATCTGGTCACTGAGCTATGCAGGTATATACATCATCATCATCATCATCATCATCATGTTCATCATCATCATCATCATCATCATCATCTTCATCATCATCATCATCATCATCATCATCATCATCATCATCACCGACTAAACAATTCCCCGTTTTCTTGATTCGTTTTTCTAGAAAACATAGCATTTTGCACCATTTCAATACATTTTTACGTAACCTACAAATATGGGCACCACAATCAGGACACAGTAAATTAATTTTTTTTAGGAGGGGGGTTGTGGTTGAGGAGGAGGAAAGTGGGGGTGGGGAGGGGGGTGGGTAGGGAGTGTTTTATAACGTGGTCTGTGGGTGCCTCAGTGCATCCTAACATGGTGGCGTTATATGACGTCACTTCTCACTGTCTAGTCACTGGTCAATGGGGGTGGGGGTTGGGGGATGAATACATGTGGGGGTTGGGGGATGAATACATGTGGGGGTTGGGGGATGAATACATGTAGATAAATTGGGGTGGGGAGATGGAGGAGGAAGAAAAGGGATACTACGGGGTTGTTGAGATCTCGAGATATCCCAGAATATCCCAACGTGGTGGCGCTGTATGAGGTTATGGAGACAGACAACTCCTACTATTTGGTCACTGAGCTTTGCAGGTATACAGGGGAGTAAAGGGGGTGGGGGTGGCATGGATGGATAGGTAAATAGCAGATTTTTCTTAGGGTGGAAAAGAGGGTGGTGGTAGAGAAAGGGGAAGGTCATGTATCACATGGTTATTGGATATCCCAGATCGTCCTAACGTTGTGGTATTGTACGAGGTTTTGTAAACAGACTCTTGTTACCTTCTGGTCGCTGTTCTGAAAGCAACAAAAACTGATGTGAGACTATATTATTATAGCGCCTTATTCCTAGAAGCTCTGTACAGTGCAGAATTATCATTAAGTACAAATGACAAATCAAAAGATAGAAAATGTGCCTTGTGAGACTATTTAACAACACAATAACAACAACAACAATCCGGTGGTGGCATATCTTTGGGGAGGATTTCGGGAGGTTGGACTGTCTCACCCGCTACCCAAGAGAGGCAGTGGCCCTGGCGAAGAGCATGTTCTTCGGAGCTCCAAACATTTTGAACGGATAGGCTACGACACACACAACAACAACAATGACA